GATGTTTGTAGTACAATGTAAACAAACACTTTGTGACACCAGCGCTCCGCTTAGTAAAATCGGTGCTCTTTTGAGGCATTTAGCTTTTCCTTTTCTTTTTAAATTTTCTATGCATTCGATAATGTCAGCTTTATGCTGCTTATGCCGGCAGCACAATGTAGCTGTCAAGTGTCAATTTTTACGTTTAGGAATTGGAGGAATGGAATGGAACGATTCAGCCATTCCAGGAGTGGGAATGGGCCCAGTGTACCCATTCCTTGGAGTTAAAAGGAATTGAATTATCGAAAACCCTAATTCTCCGGAATAGAATTGGAATGGAATGGGGGTGCCCATTCCGCAACACTGCTGTAGTATGCTTGTTCGTTAGCGCAGTTGACATCGCGACCGCTTGCGCCATCTCTTGTCTCCTGCGCGAATCGGCGCCGTATTGTTCAAAGAGCTTTGGCTTCGCCGCATTTCCATAGGAGAGAAGCCTTTTTCTTTCTTTACTTTTTCCTCAGGAAAATTCGCTCTTTGCAAATTTTACAAAAAAAAAAAAAAAAAAAGCACCATCTGTGGGCAGGGCTGCACCCAACTCTACCTCGTTGCCTGCACCATGGAGTTATTATAATAACTCTATGGGCTGCACAAAGTCGTAGCGCGATGGGTTAAGAAACCGAATTTCGCGGTCGATTTAAAGAGCCTGGCCACTCCTACACACTACATATTCCTTTCGTTTGTTATTTTGCTTTGAATCGTCGCTTCTTTTGCACCCCTGCTGCGGGACAGATATGTTTGGGTCTGAAATGTAGCGAGTTAAACATCGTTCACTGATGAAGAATACGCGTTAACTAAAGCAATTACACGTTTACAATGTGAATCAAGGTACACACTATTCGCGCTAACTAAAGCAATTACACGTTTACAATGTGAATCAAGGTACACACTATTCGGTACGGCCCAAATAACCAAAATGTTCCGTGTTAATAGGGAGTTTTAGAATAACGTACGCAATTGTAGAGCACGCTAGCGCTAAATTTAGCGCTTGCGTTACCGCACGCGATCAAGAGAGTTTTAGAATAGCGTTTCTCCGCCGCGACGCAAAAGCCCAAGCACCTCGCGCTTGCAACACCACCAAGATACGGTCACAATTTTTATTTCACACACGAAATGGTGTAACTTGAGAAAGAAACAAGTTTTTTGGTCCACAGCAACATTTTACATTTGTTTAAACGTGATGCGACGCGAGCGGTCGACCGGTCGTGTCCGCATTATGGTGCCTGGATCGCGTCTTCGACTGGTGTGTTTAGCGTCCTATCCCGCCCATACATCAAAAGTGGTCCCGATGTGGCAACAAATGACGCGAGTGTCATGCTGTTGCCTGTCGCGATCCTGGCGGTTGGCCGTAGAAATGTTGGCAAAAAGCACGAGCGAACGCGAGTGTCGCTGTCGTCACGGCGTCCCGTTAGGCGTCCCAACTTCCGGTTGCACTAGCTTCCGTGAACTGTCACAGTGGAAAGCGACCTGCAGCAGAACAGGCATCTGCTACACACACCATAACTGTTGAGACGCCACCAGGGTCGCGACCGGCGACAGCATGACACTTCTATGACGTCATCAGGCGGAAATCGAGGGACCACTTTTTTGGCCGCGGTAAACACACCAGTCAAAGACGTGATCCAGGCACCATAGTCCGCATGCATCGCCTCGGCAAGGAGTACTGACCTTCGCCAGTGTTGCCAGATGGTCCCAACAAAAAACCGCCAAACGGCTGGGAGGTATAGCCCAAATATAGCCAAAGCCACAAAATAAATATAGCCCAAAATAGCCAAGACTAAAAACGACGATTTTTAAGCCTTTTATTGACAATTTTTCATACGCGCAAAAAACAACACGTTAAATTCTCTTTTTCAACCTTCAGATGCGCCACTTTTTTGTGTACATTAGGTCCCCTGATATATATACATAAAAAAAGCTTCAGAAGGATGAAAATTTGTGAAACAATTACCCATCCTTCGTAGGTTTTCAGAAATAGAAAACATACATGGACAGCTGTATTGTGAAGCCCGGGAGATATAGTCATACAGTAAAAGAACAGAATGTGGAAGCAGAACAGTCAGAACTGGGAGTTTTAAACTAGCACCCCCTATATCTAAGGTTCTTACCAATAAACCACCCGTCTATTTTTCTTTGAATGGAATATGAGCGTCCCCCGTTCCGGTTCAAGCTATTTTTTATTGTGTTTCTTTTCTTAAAGTTGGCGATGCCTAAGAATTTTCGCAATGGGTACCAAAGCTGCGTTTGGAGAGTCCAGTCTACGTCCGGGTAGAAGACGCGCTACCGGACCTGTAAAAACAGTGCAATTTATTTGTTTGATTTGCTTCACTGCGCTGTGGGGAGACCGCTTGAACTCTGCTAGCACTGCTTCTCTGCGCATTGTGAAAACCCCGAAGTTTGTAGAAGTTTGAAGCCATTCTCCTTCCTCTCTCTCTTCTCAACTAGCCAAAAGAGAAACAATTTTTTTTACGAAACTGACTAGAAGTTCGAAAATTAACTAGTCGAACCTCAAAGTTCGACGTCGAACCTCAAAGTTCGACGTCGAACCTGAGGTTCGACAAGAGTTCGCCGCACCCTTAGAAATAGCCCAAAAATAGCCACATAGCCAAAGGTGAAATTTCGACGCCAACTAGAAAAAAATGTAGCCCAATTTGGCTATATATAGCCCAATCTGGCAACACTGAGTCCTTCGCCGATAAACGTGTGCTCGTCGTAAGCTTTGGATTGGATTGGATTGGATTTGGGGCTAACCCCTTTGTATCGGGGGATCTCAGCAGCGCTGGATCTAGCCTGGCTAGTAGCTACACTAGCCAAAAACGTAGTTGTGTTCTTTTGATCTCCTCCACCAACACTCCAGTCCCCTCTTTGCCACCTCCACTGGCTGCGAGCTATCGGCGTCGTACTGTTCGTCAACGCCCCGGAATCCCAGCGCCACCGCCATGTCTGGTTCGTACGTCACGTCCAGCTTTATACCCGTGCATTCCAGTATGACGTGTTCCGCCGTCTCGTCTGCTCCCTGCGCGCACATGACGCACTTCACTTCCATGTCCATGTACTTCGCGCGGAAAACGCGGGTCCGCAGCATGCCGCCACGGGCGTCCGAAAGCAGTGCACTGCCCTTGCTGTTGTCCATGAAAGGTATTCGCTTCACCTCCTGTTCCTCTCTGGCATACAGGGCCAGCGCTGGTTTCAGACGTGCCGCTTCCGCCCATCGCCACGTCTCGCTCTCGATCACCCTCGTGCGGATGCTCTGCTGCAGTTCCGGCTGCTCCGCGGCTGGGTAGAGGAGTGGGCCGTTGACCTCGTATCACTGTGCCAGCTGGCGCGTCCGTCGCACCCACCGGGTTGGGACGGACCGAAGATGTACATACTTGAAGACCTGTCTGGCCCAGCGCTCTTCGCTCATCCGGCTGAGGCGTCGCTCGAAGTCCAGCTTGGCTCGGGCCTCCCTGGCCTCAAAACCGGACCAGCCCATGTCTCCTTGGACGGCTTCGTTCGGTGCTGTTCGGCTTGCTCCCAGTGCCGACCTTCCCACCTCCCTCTGACGGACCTCGAGGTATTGCCTGGTACCTGACGACAGGCACAACACTGAGTTGCCAAAAGTGAGCCCCGGCACCGCCACCATCTTCCAGACCGCTCGGGTTACCTCGTATCGGTTATATCCCCAGAGGGCCCTGGCCGTTGCTATGCCCTTGTTCTTCCTGCTCTTCGCCTTGACCTTCGTCTCGTGCTCTAGGAGGTAGTGGTGTCCCTTCTGTAGGTTTACACCCAGATATTTGTAGTGGTCCACCCAAGGTACAGGATTGGCTTGAATGGACAGGTTGGCGGTCCCGTTTTCCTCTATTGCCCCAAAGGCCATCAGCCCAGATTTGTGCGAACTGAAGCTAAGCCCCAGGGCCTCTCCCATTGCACCACACTCGTTCATGAGCCCCTGCAGGCCCTGCAGCGAGTCCGCCATCAGCACCATATCGTCGGCGTAGATGAGTCCCGGGAGTTTTCCTCACTTCCTTTCCCCGCCTTCCGAATATTCCAGTGAGAAACCCTCCCCACTCTCCTGCAGCCGCTTTTCGATTCCTGCTATGTACAGCATAAACAATAGCGGCGACAGCGGGCAGCCCTGTCTCAAGCCCTTGGAGCAGGTCACTGGATGTGTTGTCTCCTGCTGCCACTGTGCCACCACCATCGTCCCTCTGTACACTTCTCGCAAGAGGTCTATCCACTCTCTGCAGAGTCCCCGCTCTTCCAGCTGCGTCCACAGTTTTCGATGTTCGACCGTGTCGTAAGCCTTGCTGATATCGAGAAAACAGAGGTAAAGGGGGAGGTAAAGGGGGCGGTGATTGTTGCTTACCTAAATGGGTTTTTCGGGTTTTTCAGACCGAGTGAAATGTCATCCTGTATTGAAAACCGCAGTCGCGAGGATGCCGCCAACGTCGCGCTCACGACGCTGCTAAAGCGGCCGCGATCGTGGTCCTGGGGGCCGCCATTTTTTCAACTGTGCTCGTCTTGGCTTTAGCCAACTTCTCATCACGAATCCTCCTCGGAGGAGCGCAAAGGGCGCAAAGACCCTTTGCGTCGCTAAAATAGCGCACGCAAAGCGCAAAACGTGGTTAGCGTTCGGCGCACGCGCAGTGGCGACGACGCTATTCTTTGCGTACGTAAAGATTTAGCGTACGCTATTCTAAAACTCCCTATTTTCCTGCGAAGAGATAAAATGTCTCGCTGTTTGCTTAGATTAGCGCCAGTTTAACCTATTATAAAGTACAATATAAAAAAAACAAAATTTATGGTTCAGTGTTGTCGGTTTTGTGCATAGAGTTATTATAATGGTTTTGTGCAACATTTTGTGCACTGCTAGGAACGCTACTACAATGTAGATTTTACCGACTATAGCGCCGAAAAAATCCTGGTGGATATCATTAAAACTCCTTCATATTTTGTGTCGTGTTACCTGTTGTGGTCTACTTGCTTGCCTCATCTTCCGTCTTTTCCGGTGTGCTCTGTGACGCTTGGCGTTGTTTGGATTTTTTGTGAAAGCGTAGTATTTTCCTTCTCACAAAGGAATTATGGCCATGAAATCAATTGTTCTAACCACACTGTCTGTGTTCCTGGGACTGTTTTTCATATTCGTCGGGTCCATGAAAGTGACGCCGAACATCAACAGGGACATGCACCGGGAAATCGTAGGTGTTCTGCGGCAGTCCTCGGTCTTCCGACGGCGCTTGCCGTCCCTGCACGTCCGCATGTTGGGATGATGTGTGCGGCGGTGTAGGGCGGACTTGTAGACGAAAGCGGTTCGGATGCTGAAGCACGAAGCACGCAAAAGATGACACCTCAACCGGTTGACTTGGCAGCTTCGGTGAGCACTGGAAGCCTGCAATGACTTCCAACTGGGGAGGCGTTCTAGAGAGTCTCTGATGGCACGATGGACGTCAGAAACGCACCTAGGGGCCTCGAAAAGACCCGCTAAAATTAGGGTACCTCTCATTGGCTTACTAGAAACTAGCGGCCCGATTAGACGATGGTCCTGGCATCCTTTCGAACTGTCGAGTGTCAAAGCCTAGAGGGCCAGCGAAGGGCGAAATTGGGAGATGCTAATAGTCAACTACGGTACCATTTTTAATCGAAACTATGGCCTTTGAGTGTTACGATTCGAGCACAAAGCCGAAGCCCTATCTAAAATTTTTGTTTTGGTCTTCAACTTGTCACCGGCATTGCACCTTTCTGTCGTTTGCTTGAAATGTTGCACCCTCTTGGCTGCCTTGCCATGATGCATGTATGCATGCGTGGGTTTGCCCATGAATATTGGTTTGTTGGCCGTTTTGTCTTGTAACTATTTACCTTCACTTCAACCCCCCCCCCCCCCCCTCCCTCCCCCAACCCCCCAGAAAATAGAAAGTTATGCAGCTGATGGTGGCTACATTGTTCACTGGTACAGGACCTGATCGTCTTGATATTCATTAGGACGAGACCTCAGGAGTTTCCTAAACTGGTGCCTCTTGTATTGACGGATGTCCAAAAACATGGTAGCAGGCACGATCTTCACTATGGCGTGACCTCTTGGGAGCTTCCTAAATTTCTTCCTCGTGTGTTGAGGGATGTCCGAAGATGTGCGGACGCAATCTTTATTGTGACATTACCTCAAGGACTCCTTACGTATGCATGTTTTATGTTGAAATGTCTACAGACGTAACAGTTGGTACACTCTTCAGTGACGAGACCTCAAGGATCTCCCAGTTTCTGCTTTATATTCTTGTTCCAATGTGTAGGTGTTTGTTTTGCAATGTCCACGTTGCTGCATTCTGTTCCACCCCCACTTCTGGTTTGTTGTGTACAAAAGATTCTAACACTCCGCTGTGATGTTTGTATTGGGGCAACTATGGTATATCATAACCTGAACTGTTTAACTGAAAGTCTTTGAACTTGAATCTGTGTTTTGTGTCTGTTGCTCGTTCTTGTTGCCCAAACAACTCGGTCAGGGGCGGGAGATAGGTGCGGTGACCTACCAGTATGCATTTTGTGTTTTGTCTGAATTTTGGAGAGGGTCGAAAGAAAGCGGGCTTCACAATATTTACGAGGGCTAAGGCCGGAGGCTCAGCCACTTGCCGCTAATGGCTTTGGGGGTAACCCTAGGTTCGGAGGGGGTACTCCCGAATGGGTGGGATTTGCAAATGCGTGATGCTGTCATCCTACTTGTGACATCTCCACAACAAGTAAAAAAACTTCCTCCTCAACAACAACCATAGGTCAAGAGAAGAAAGTTCACTTTCTTCTCTTGAAGGAAATTAACTTGCTCTTGTTTGGCGGGTGTTGCTGTGACACGCTTTCCAGATCCGCACCCCCCCCCCCCCCCCCCCCTTTCCTCTCTTCCTTAAAGTATTTGTATATATATATATATCAGGTGGGCAGCGAGGGCACACAGAGTGCATGGGCTGTCTGCCTTTCCTTGTCGCCTGCACACCTGGTGTGAACTCACTCGAGTGCAATAAAACTATTGAACTATTAACTGGGGCTCTCAAACTCATTCCGGTATAGGGCCAGACAGCCGACCATGCTGGAATTTTTCAACAAAACGAGGGAACACTCATTGTTCGATCCACTCGAGAATTAGTCGAGATCAACAAGTCTCGAAAATAAGTCGTCTTAAAGACAGCTTCCGCTTTCCTGTCGATTTTTATAACGGCATTATAAGAGAACATCCACATTTCTGTCTGACTTTCTCGCTGCCTATGCATTGTTTCACGTAAAGAGGTGCAGCAGCAAAGGCTCATAGCTTTCGCAGTTGCTTCTGGTAAGCAACAATTTGCATAGCTTTGCATAGCAAGAGATTTGCACTTCTAGCTGAGTAGGGCATTGTCGTACAGGTGATTAACTTGAGAAACAAGTGAGAAGCAGAGGTAACAAAAAGACTACAACAATACTTTGTGTAAATGAAATAGAATGGTGAGAAACGTTCTGAACAGACACAAAGGGATCGATGATGCGAGGCCAATATGGCGCATGCCTTTTCTATGTTATGAGACTTGGGAACAGAGGCTTGCAGCCGCGAGATGCTTGCAGGCAGCGTCCCAGTGTGTCACGGGTCCTATGTTTGAGACCCCTGGCCTACAGCCATAGCAACAATTTTTTAGATCAGTGGTTCTCAAATGGGGGTTTGCAAACCCTCTCCGAAGGTCTTCTCAGGGTGCTGGAAGCCCTCAAGGAGAGCAATAAAATTTGTTTTTTTCTTAAAATTAATGCTGTCTTGCACGTGCACCGAGTGAATAAGGTTGATTAGTCTATGTTTTAGAGCTTCAAAGTTGGCTTACATGCATTTAATTTCTTTTTTTAACCGTTTTGTCATCGTAATTGTCTATTATCCGGGATGGGGTCCCCCATCACTTCCGCCGATTCGGAAGGGTTTGCCAAATCATCAGTGGTTGAGAACCACTGTTTTGGAGTGATTTTTAATTCTGACAATAGACTCGTTGAATTAAATTTGGGCTTAAAAAAAAATCTTTGAACCCAAAATTTTACAAAATTACCCAAGCTTGACATATACTGGTAAGCACAGAATGTGCGATAGTCCTTCCAGGGGAAGAAGAGAAGGGCGTCTTACTTACTGGCATCGCCTACCGAAGATTTGCTTTTATGTCTGACACATGTCGTGAGATGACATGACTGGAGAGGCCGTGAAGCGCTCGAGCTCATTCACGCCGGGTTGCAACCTAGTCGGATGCAACCTGAGAACAATCTTTTAGCTCCACCCACAAGCGCATTGCGCCCATCTGAAGTGCCTCCGCCGTCGAGAAAGTAGTTCGCTAGCAACGTTGCTTTTTCTTCCTCCAGAAAACGTGCCTTAAACTACTACAATATTTGTTTAGTTCATTCCGGACATTTAAATAAGTCAGAATATGTTTTGTCAACGAAATAGCTGTTTAGTAAAGAAAGAAAGTCATGTCCAATGTACCGTCTTCCCAATTCATTTTCTGTCCAAGATACTGTCTAACATACCGTCTAACATACCTCTCAGCAGTGCTAAGCCTCGCGCCCGCTTCGAAATTTTCGTTGGCGATAGCGTCGCTGGATTCTCACGTTGTCGCGCAAAAACTCCTCAACGCAAAACTGCAGTTGAGGAGTAGGTGTATAAAAAAAATGACAAATAACACAAATAATGAGCGGACGACAGAACGCACAAGAAATGATAATCAAGTGAATGAAATTGCACATATTATCAGCACTCAACAGCAAAACATAAAATGCATATTTTATATATGGTAGCACCGCAGCTGCTTTCAAAACGAGGGTTCAGCCACACCAGCAGTTCTCAAACTGTGATTCATGGACCTCCAAGGTCCTCAAAAGATAAATAAAAAGATTTTTTAAAAAGAACTTCTCTTGTGGCATCGTGCAGGACCTCCGAGTAAGTTAGCAGGTCCGTGATGGACAAAAGTTTGAGAATCGCTGCGCTAGACCCATGTGCTGCTCCCACAGTATTCCGCTGGATCCAAGAGGGGCTGTTTGCCCCCCTTGTTCTTTTCCGCTCTCTGGCCTAACAAGTGGCCATCCGCATTTTTCCACGATTGTTTCGAACTTTTGGCTAGGCACGTGCTTCGCATTTTAGTGTCGCTCGTTCACGTGACCCGATATACAGATTTCGATTCTTCAACTGAAACTTGAGCTGCTGACATTCAATCATTGGGTTATGTCAATAGACCTTTCGCTAAATGGTTGGAACACCGAGCAAAATCCTGGATATGTAGTGGCACACAGTGCAGATGCTGGCATCTGCGGCGGTATTTTTTTATTCCAGAAATCTCAAACAAACCGCACTTTCCTCGTGCGTTCGTCGTCATCGTTTCTTGAGTCGTTTACTTTTAATTTCGCACAGTCGAGGGCAGTCCAGTGTGCGTACCTACAAACATTGGTGTTCCACCCATCTAGCAAAAGGTCCATTTGTACACCTCTTTCTGACTGGACTTTCGTCTGGAAAAACTTATGATTCACTTAGAGTTTGCTTAGAAAGAAAGCTGCACTTGCATGATCACAGCTGGGTCATTATGCCATTCAGAGGGGCTGAATGCCATGCTCCCTCTTGCCTTACGAGAGAACTCAGCGGACGCCACGGGCCATTGGAACCCATCCAATGCTGCGTGAGTGTCGCATAACCTTTGGGATGCGTGCAGCAACGCAGGTTGTACATACTTGCACGATACATTCTAGATTGGCCGGGATGGTTGGTACTATCCACTGCGGCCTCTCGTAAGGGGAAATAAAGCGTAGGTGTGGAATTTGGAGCCAAGAATCAAAACTTGACAGTTTTCCCGTTCTTCTTGCACCTTGGCTGCCTGCTTAAGTGCCCTACGATCCTCGTGCTTTCCTTTTCTTTTACAGCGGCGGAATTTCATCCAGTATGCCAAGGTGTTTCCGGGATCTCGTCTCCTGGGCATGACGATAGACCCCAAGCTGTACCGCCTCGCTGTTGGGTGGTACGAGGTGGTCTGCGGAACCATCCTGGTCCTCGTCCCAGGTTTGGGGTGCATTCTACCCTCTTAGTTTATTACGACATTTTCTGGACTGTGCATGTGCATAATTTAAAATCTCGCGTGGTGCGGTCTACCTACAGGTGCGGACTATACAAGGATTTGTTTCTTCAAGATCGTTCAATGTGAGGAGACGTGACGGAGTTCGTGAATCACGGTTTGCGTTAGTGGCGATTTCTGTCTGATACGAGCCTCTTTGCGAGCTAATGAAGCAGGCACTTGTCAGGGTGTGCCATCTAGGATTATGTTTTATGTACAGACTCTGCTCCGGGAGTGGGCTATACGAGGAAAAGCTTTTTTTTTAATCCAGATTCTGGCTTCGTGGACTACATGCAGTGTGCGGAGTATAGTCTGGCAAATGTGGTGCCAAAGTTCCACATTTTCGGTGTTCAGTTCTCTTCGAACGTGGCAACGTTTTTTCGGGTTTATTTTCTCCCATAGATTCGGTGTTCTTCGGCGTCAATTTTCACCGTCGGACCAAAAAACTGTTGCCATTCGTCGGGACTCATGTTAGAGAAAATCGCACGCAGGCGTACAAATTCTCGGCCTCCGGGGAACAGTGTGCGCGACCCGAAAACCTGCAGCTCGTTGCTGCACCGATAAGAGAGAAGAACGACTTAATGGGTGCAGTTTCTAAAGGAACAAAACAGCCTTGCGGATAGTGCAGTGCAAGCTGTGTTCTTGGTCGACACCAGAGCCGTATATGGGGAGAGTTTGGTCAGTCTATGATCTCGCCGCCGTAACGCTCTCCTCCCAAGTGAGCCAATCAGCACGCGGCGTAGAGCGAGAGGCATGAGCGCATGCGCGTGAACTCCCAGCTACTCCCACCTGAGTGGGGAGGGCCGCCATCTTCAATCATTCTCCCGGCGGAATGCGTGGGAGCGGCATCTAAATCTCGATTATTTCCTTTTATATCGCTGGCTCTGGCAAGAAAATGACATTCTGTTATTCCTCGGTGAGTTAAAAAGCTAATAAATGAAGATTTTTCGGCGTATGGCCACAAACTTTTATTCAGGCGAAAAAGAAGTCGGCCCGTAGCAGACGACGCGTAGCCTCAGCAGTGCTCTTCTCCGACAGCGTTGCTAAAAAAAGGCGGTCGTCTCCTCTCTTTCTCTCTCACTCCTTTGACGCTCTCCTCCCTTTCATTTACTTTTCTCCTCTCCGGCGCCTTCGTCGCCACACCCACTGGCCAAACTCTCCCAATATACGGCTCTGGTCGACACAAAGTAAGGCTGCAGGTAAAAAATTTTTTTTCGTGAAGCTCAGGTTCTAACACAGAATGTGTTCAAGGGCCGGGGTTCCCGAGGAAAGTGTGACAGAGCACCACAGAAACCGTCACAAAATTCAAGATTCGCACTTTAAAGGACAATCTCTACAAAAGAATTTGTAAATTGAGAATGAAGATCATAATGCTAAATGCACCCCGACGAGAATCGAACCTGTGGTTCCGAGCTCGACGTTTGACCTGTGCGTCAATTAGTGGGTGGACGCTTTGTGTCTACCACGGTGGTCTCTATTAATTGTTCGAACAGGAACATTGATTGCCGACGTTCACATTCGGCATTCACGCTTGGGATTCACGTTTGAATGCTTTGTGGGGAGAAGCGAGTAATCCAAGATGGGGGGTGTCCACCATCGCGTAAAAGAGGATGGAGTTTGGAATAGAATAACACTACGACCGAAACAAAATTAAAATAAGGCAACGTTCACCACAGTCCCCGAAGAATGCCGCGGAAACGCATTCTGCATATACTGAGTTTATTCGTGTTGTCGGGATAAATCAAGCATTTTTTTCTTAATAGAGGACACCTGCAGTTGGGAGGTTTTCAGTTTTTTCTTATTTCGATAAATTGATTTCGGGTGTTAACTTTTGGCGTCTTTCGGTCTACCAAAAATGCGGATTCCTATTTAATACCCTTTTTACTGCGTGCGGCATACATCCGTGAGATTTAACCCCCTAGAAATGAAGAGTGGGGAGCCCAGAAAAAGTTTCAGGCAATGAGAAATTTTGTATAAACTAGCACTGCACACTAGACCTTTTTTCATGGACAGCACCATGTTAAATACCCTAGCGCCTCCTGGCATGCGTCCAGTTCTGCGGCCATGCTGGGTCGGGCGGCGAGCTCACCTTGGGGTGTCGCCGCAGGTTCTGAGGCTGGTTAGGGGAATCTATGCTTGGGTTGTCACAGGTGCGTGGGTTACTGCGTGCCGCAGTTCTCGCGTTTAAACACCTTTTAATAATGTTCACAGTAACAGGCAGTGTGCAAACTTTTTCCCCCTGGATTATGGCATAAGCCGTGCTGCGGTGTTAGTGGTAGGATCAGCAGTGGGGGCAGCAGACAGAAAGCATTCATTTCGCGCTTTGCTCCAAGTTTTTGTGATTGTAGATGTAGCTGCCGGTGCACTAAAAATGTGTTCATTGCTCAGCGTGTGCCACGAGAAAATATGTTGTGCGCACTGAAGGACGCTGCAAATAAAACATAAAATGTTGCCCCACAGCTGTTCATGGTGTGGGCTATGTGCCTTCCTGTGCGACTGTGACTTTTCTGAATTGGAATATTTGCAATTATCGCTCTAAATGGAATGAATGAAGGCAGCTCGAGCTTGCTCACGCGTATTTATTTATTTATTTCCTCCCTTAGGGCCCATAGGCTTTACAGAGAGGAATGGATAAAAAGCAGCTAAATAACGTACACAGAGTAAAATAGCCAGGTGAATATAAAACAAACAACGCATCTAAATACATATACGAAACTATTTAGATCCAGGCAAATAAAACAAAGAACTGTTAATCTGAACACAAAACAAACTCGCAAATAGCATCTTTAAATTCAGCGCTTTTGTTTATGCTGGCAATAGGTGCTGGAAGGCGATTCCAATTCAGAGATGATGTGTGTTTAAAAGTCTGATCAGAACTTGATGAGTGACAAAAGGGGATTCATACTTTATTTCGATGATTGACACGTGATGAGAGATAAGATAGTTGTGTGAAGAGATGCTGACGTAATAAAGGGTTATGGTGGTAGACCTGATGAAATGAGCAAGGCCGGGACACTTTTCTGAAAAGGTAGAAGTCAGGCTGCCCTAAAGTTATTTTCATTGCTGTCACGCTTGAAGTGCGATGATAGTTATGTAGTATGAAACGAACGGAACGGTTTAGAACGGCTTTAGTGATAATGCAAGAGTTTTAACAGGATCCCAGATAGTGGCTGCGTATTCGAGCTTACTGTGAACGAAGGATTTATAGAGGAGCAGTTTGAAGGACAGCGGTGCAAGAGAGAAGTTTCTTTTGAGGAAGCCGAGCATGCGGTTAGATGTATTACCTAGTTACATATTCAATATGAGTGTTCCACGTTAGGTTATTAGTTATCTGTACACCAAGGTATTTATATGAAGATGCAGAATCTAATACAACGCTTTCAATTTAGTAAGAAGGACAACTGTTATTTTAACATGATGCTCTTATGTGCTTACACTTGTTAATGTTAAGTTTCACTTGCCGTCTATCACACCAGGAAGAAACATCGTTAAGGCCAGTCTGAAGTGACTGGACATCAGAAGCGTCAGTTATTTCAGAGTATATTGCACAGTCGTAGGCAAACAGACCAATGGAGGATGAGACGTAGGCTGGAAGGTTCTTTAATGAATATATGGAACAAAAGGGGGCCTAGGACTGAACCTTGGGGGACATCAGCAGTCACGTCTGAGAAGTGTGAGTCATTGCCGTTAACAGAAACAAATTGTGAGCGGTTAGCTAGAAAAGAAGTAATCCAAGCAAATACACGAGGATCAATGTTTAGGGTACTGAGTTTATATAAAAAGGAGCCTATGTGAAAACTTATCAAAGGCTTTACCGAAATCTAAGAATGTGCAATCAACCTGGGATGAACGACCTAGTGAGGCATGGAGACTGTGGGCAAGCTTTAATAGTTGAGACTCGCATGAAAACAGTTTTCTGAGGCCGTGTTGAGCAGGTGAAAACAAGGCACGTGAATTTAGAGAATTCACGAGATGGGAATAGATTATTTATTTATTTATAATACCCTCAGGGCCACAAGTGGCGTTACAGAGGGGAGTGGGTTTACATGAACTAGTTGGTGATGGCGTCCCGAAATCTTCCACTGTCGGTGATGCCGATGAGGTTCTCGGGGAGGTCATTCCAGTCCACAATCGCAGATGGTAAGAGCGCCTTCTGGTGTGCGAGGGTGAAGCATTGTGGGCGGGCGATCTTACAAAGATGGTCAATTCTAGCCGAGATGTATGATGGGGGGTTTAAGAGAGATTGTTTAAAGATGGGCGTATAAAATACCTTGTGAAGAAGACAAAGGCGAGAGATCCTACGACGTGAAGATAATAGCGGAAGGTCAAGGTGAGCTTTCATTAACGAGACACTCGAAAAACGGGAATAATCAGAAAAAATGAAGCGTGCAGCACGGCTCTGAACAGATTCAATTAAATCAGTTAGCGTCGATTGATGAGGATGCCAAATTGAAGACGCATATTCTAATTTGGGACGGACAAGAGTAACGTACAGGAGGCGCTTAAGGTTATTGGGAACAGATCTAAAATTTCGACGGATGTAGCCTAAACTTCGATTAGCAGATTGTACAATGTTGTTAATATGAGTATTCCAAGAGAGGTTAGGTGAAAGATGCATGCCGAGGTATTTATAGTGGTCTGTATATTCAATTTTAGCCCCATCCAAAAGTAGCGTAGGATTAGTTTTTGCTAATGAATTAGAAAAACGCATGCACTTACATTTGTTAGTATTGAGAGACATTTTCCAATTCTGGCACCAGTCGGTTATTTTGAGAAGGTCAGCTTGCAAAATTAGAAGGTCATCTTGAGTAGTAATCTTACGGTAAACAGCGCAATCGTCAGCAAACAGGTGAATAACAGAGGTGATACGCAATGGGAGGTCGTTAATATAAATGAGAAAAAGTAGCGGTCCAAGCACGGTGCCTTGAGGAACACCAGAAGAAACAGC